TTTAGAAACTGTCTATAAAGTGGAATGATGTTTACACATGTCATTACGTACTAAGAAAATAGTAACAATTAAATATTTTTTATTTAGATGATAAGTACGGAGTTTTGCGATAACGTACTATTTTCACGGTCAGTCGGATCCGATGGTTAGCAATGTCTCGCAGGCTGATACATACGTAAAGAACGCGGCGTGGCGGGCGCGGTGCGTCTGTGGGCGGGCGCGGTGGGCGCGCGCGTGGAGGCGGCGCCGCAGTGCTACATCTGCTACTGCCGGCTGCACGCCGCGTCGGGCCGCCTGCCGCGCGTGCCGTGCCACCAGTGCAAGAACAAGTTCCACAACGTGTGCCTGGTACGTCCGCGCCGACCGGTGAGTTCGTCGGAACGATGCGAGCAGTAATACGGTACTTCGTTTGCTTCCAGCGCAAGTGGTTCGCCACGAGCAACAAATCCAACTGCCCGCTATGCAGGGCGGCGTTCTGATGACCTGGACCCCGGCCGCCGAGCGAGACGTCGCATTGTGTGACTACTCGTCTGTGTATATATCCTTATATTCTTTTGCCACTTATAATCAATTAAACGACGAAAATAAATTTGAAATAAACCAAACGTTTGTTCACAATGAACGCGATTACTAAACCAGCGTCCCGCGACTTCATACGCCCAAACCCGGTTCTTCCCGTTCCCCTAGGATTTGTGTTAAATCCTTCGACAAAAATTCATGCCTTGATTCTAAGCTGCTCCCAAAATATGTATCAATCCAGTGCATGTTGGATGTACTTAAGGCTGCCCTGGTCGGTAATTCTTCCATACTAACTTAACTTGCCGATTACTCCACTGTTTGATGGTATACGTTCAAAATAAAAAATGATCTATATTTATCTCATTATTATCTAGCTCTGTATGGAAACAAAAAAAAACTAATAATTCAAAGTTATAAGCGTCTAAACTTCCTCATTTCAACACTAATTTTAACGTATCTTTGGGGGAAAATAAATAACTTATGAAGAAGGAAAATTGCAAAATAGTTACCATACAACCCTAGATAATTTGTTCAATAATTTTTTTATTTTTTTTTGTTGTTCTTCTATGGCAATCTGTTATTCAACAATAAGCCATACTTTTGTCTGATCAATACACTGTATCTGGATTTCTAGGTATTTGAAGAGTCCAGCTATATCTGGTTACTCTGAGCAGGCAAATCTCTCAGGGAGATTAGCAACACCTTGTCTCTTAAGTCTATTATACTTAATGCTGCCGTCACCACCAAGGTTTAAGGCCATCTCATTTCTATGACTTGTTAGTCTCTTCTGGTATTTGGTACTGAAAGCGGTAATTTCTTGTCTGACTGTGTTAATCTTTATATCATTGTATATATATCTATTTGCAATATATTGTGGAATATTTAGTATTGCCCTCAGAGTTTTAGTTTGAAATCTTTCGAGTATGTCAATATTGCTATTGCTTGGTGTTCCCCACAACTGAATGCCGTAAGTCCATACTGGTTTCAGGATAGATTTATAAACTGTCAGTTTGCTATTCTCGCTGAGTTGCGACTGTCTTCCAATTATCCAATACATGCTGCGTAGTTTAGTATCCAGTTGCTTTCTCTTGGTCCATATGTGTTTTTGCCATGTTAACCTTCTGTCCAAGTGCATCCCCAGGTATTTAGCGTGGTCCTCCTGGGGAATTTCCGCTCAATATAATTTGACTGGTGGGCATGTATTTTTTTTGAGCGTAAATGTTACATGTGAGGACTTGGTTTGATTCGCTGTTATTCTCCATGTTTCAAGCCATTTTTCAATTTCGTCGAGATGTACTTGAAGTTGACTGGATGCTATATCACAATCTCTGTGGGTGGACAATATTGCTGTGTCATCTGCATACGTTGCTACTATGGTCTTGTCCATTGTGGGAAGGTCAGAAGTAAATATAGTATACAGGGTGGGTCCGAGGATACTGCCCTGCGGTACTCCTGAGTTTATCTCGTGGAGCTCGGAGGTCTCGTCAGCAGATTTTACTTCGAAGCATCGATTCTGGAGATATGACTGCAAAATGAAGTAAAATGAATGTGGAAGTAACTTCTTGATTTTATACAGTAACCCGTGATGCCACACTTTATCGAATGCTTGACTAATATCCAAAAATACAGCTGAACAGAACTCCCGCTTCTCCAGTGATCTACCTATGGCATCGACTAATCGGTGCACCTGTTCAATTGTTCCATGGTTCTCTCTGAAGCCAAATTGATGACTTGGTATGATATTTTCAAGGTATTTCTTCATCCTGTTCAGGATGATTCTTTCGAACAGCTTGCCTACTACCGCTAGAAGACTTATAGGTCTGTATGACGTGAGCTCATGAGACGGTTTTCCTGGTTTGGGTATCATGATTATTTGTGCTATCTTCCACTGACCCGGGAAATGAGACAGTCGCAGGCAAGCATTGAAAATTTTGACTATTGCCATAATACCCTTTTTAGGGAGGTTTTTCAGGAGAGTCGCATCTATATTATCGTAGCCCGGAGATTTACCTTCCTGTAGGTTTTTTATTTCTCTGCTGACTTCTCTTGGGCACGTATACTTTAGCGGTAAACACATTTGTTGAGGACTTTCAAGATATTTTGTTATTTCAGTGCTTTGGTCTGGAATTGTCTCCGGAAACGGCTTAAAAACTGTGCTTAGATGCTCAGCGAAAGTTGCTGCTTTTTCTGCGTCTGATCTTGCCCAAATTCCATGAACCTTTTTGATAGGTGGAATGTGGTTGTTAGGCCTCTTTATCTTGTTTGTGGCTCTCCAAAGTGAGTAGTTAGTGTCTGCTGTCGGGGTTAGACCCGAGAGATAAGCTTGAACATTTGAGTTAACTATTGCTCTTGTCATAGCCTTAAGTTCCTCAGAACATTTATTGAAGGCAGTTTTATCACTGGGATATCTTGTATCATGCCATATTTTTCTTAAATTACTTCGTTCACGTATCTTTTTTTTAATTGCATTCGGAAACTCTTTAAAATTTTGTGGTATTCCTTTCCGTGCCTTGGTTGATTTGGTGGTTGCATTGTGCACAACTCTGTTAAAGTTTTCTACCTCTTTTTCTATATCTTTACTTGTTTTAATTGGATTTTTTAACGCAATTTCTGATAAAATAACATCATCTGTTATAGGTATGTGTTTGTTGGCTGCCCTCTCTACCTGTCCTAAGAAATAGTCGTAGAATACCTGAATGTCATTGTTGACTTCAATTGCCTCAGAAAAAGATCCTGTAACTTCATGACGATATGCCTCCCATTTAGCTTTTTTGAAGTTTCGTTTTTTCTTATATTCTATGTGTTCTTGATAGTTCATCGAAATTTTTATTACGAGGTGTTCACTACCTAAATTTTCATGCATTACAGCCCAGTGAAATTTAATAGCGTGTAAGGTGCGGTGTTTATATGAAATGAAACCAGTGGATGCCCGAATAATACTGGTCTATATTTGATAGAATAACATAATATAAATGGTTACATTGGTACAAAGATTAATACAAGATAGAACTTACAATAGGTATAATATATGCCTCACAAGCGATGTCAGATGACACTAATGCTATGTCCGGTGATGATCTTTGTATATTACCATTGACAAGCTTAATTCAGGTTGCCTCTCCACTATTTAAGGTTACAAAGCCGTGTTCCAAGGATGGGTCTAGTATTTGTGTTCCACGCTGATCCGTTTTATAAGACCGTGTGGTGACCGTTAAAATCACCTACAACTAACGATTTCTTTGGCACTACTACTTTCCTGACTACTTCCATCTATCTCATCTTCCACAGTTAATGATTCCCACTCTGTTTCCATAAATGTAGTTTGGTTTTCTTGTATATTTTTTTTGCTTGGCTGGCTGGCGAGCTGGCAGTTAATAATGGACTCCATTATTTTCGAGAAGAGGCAAGTTATGGCTATCGGTCTGTAGTTGGACGGATTAGATCGATCACCTTTTTTAGGGATCGGGTGGACTAAAGCTGTCTTCCATGTCGCCGGAACTACGCCTGAAGAATAAGAGAGCCGAAAAAGACGTGTTAGAACGTTTCTGGTAGAAGCACCAAACCAGGGCCGATATCTGCCACCAACGGGGTCCAGAGAAGATGGGACGAAAAGCTCTATCCCCTGTGGCACCACATCAGCAACAGAATTGGCAGCGGCGTTGGGATCATCCTGCAAGAAGCAAACCCGCCTCCAAGGGTAGGATGCAAAAAAGGACCGCATCCCATCCCATCCCAGTCTGCCGACCTATAGTGCCATACACGACGGCCGCGCACCTTTTGTAGTCGCGGTGAGCACGTCAATAATACAGAACTCCGGACAAGGCAATGGTCCGATGAGCCAAGACCTGATGCAATCTTGCTTAGATTGCATTTCAAGATTATCTACTTACGTTCAGGTGGGGTTGACTAAAAAAAAACCTACATTGGCTTGCTTTCTGGACATTACAAATGCTTACAACAATGTCTTAGTGGAAAAGGTTATTGAGAAATTGATTTAGGAATTGGCTCAAAAATATGTAGTTATTTAAACTCATTTCTATCAGAGCGATATCTTTTTATAACAAATGGTAGTGATGGAAGAACTATTGATGTAAGACGAGCAAGCAGCGGCTTGGGGCAGGGCGACCCAATATCACCGATGCTTTTCAATATTATTACATCAACAATTTGCCAACAGATCCAGAATGTAATTGTCTCACAGTTCGCGAATGACTTTGTATTTTACCTGAGACATACAGATCTAAATCACGCGGAATCGGAAATACAAGTTGCTCTTAACTCCATCAGCGCAATACTAGAGGACATAAGTCTAGAGTTGTCACCAGACAAATATAGACATTTCGCCGACAGACCCTTTCATATGCGTCACATTCGACGACAGACCTTTTCAGCTACTAAATGTGTCACCGACACCACTATAGCTCCTTTTGCTACAGACCTTTTCATCTACGACGGCGAATTCGCCGTTAATCATAAGACAAGCAATGTTACAGCATATAATATTAACACTGTTATAACTTGTATAACAGAAAATAGTTTTACGAATCTGTGTTGTCTAGAGTGTCTAACAGCACAGAGGCACATTTTAATATAACTTTAAACTAGATTTTAAGACAACAGAACATACCTTCATAAATCATATAAATAATGAGGTATATTCTGGCAAGGAAAAAGCACAGAACAATTATACTCAGGGGCAGCACAATCTACAATTATTTTGTATTAACATTCAGGGCTGCTCCTCAAAAGTCTTTGAATTAGAGATGTTTCTGGAAAAGACTAAATTTGATGTAATTTGTCTATCAGAACATTGGTTTAAGGAGGACCAACTAATATCTTTAAAGTTAGATAATTACAATGTAGTTAGTAATTTCAATAGAAAGCATATGTTGCATGGTGGGTCCTTAATATTAGTAAAAAATAGTATTAAATCAAAAGTTAGGAAAGATATTGTAGCACTGTCAGTTGAACGCACCATTGAGTTGTCCTGTGTTGAGCTAGATAGACATGTTATTGTCTGTGTGTATAGACCACCTAACTATCAGAATCTTACAGTATTTGATTCTGTCATGGAGGACGTTTGAAG